GCAGCCGGGCAGAGGCGGTGCTGAGGGCCAGGGTTTGGGGGTGGGATGGCAGGGGTAGGGGAGCAGTTGGGCTGGGGGAGCTTAAAGGGCTTTGCCAACCCAAACGATTCTATGACCTTCTACTTGGCCTGAATCTTTGCTAGACCTTGAAGGGGTAAATCAGAGGTTTCAGGTCATCCCGTCGTAGGTACGGGGCAGTGCTGTAAGGGCCTGCAGGGCAGTGCCCGTTGGCACGCTCTAAGGAGCTACATGACCCCACTGGGCATGGGTTAGAGGGAGAACTGAAGACCTGCTCAGTGGCTTTTGAGGCCCAGAGGTTTGCTTTGACTAGCTGTAAGGAGCTACGCTGGGGTGTACTAGGATGCTCCAAGCTGTCTCCACAGCAAACTTTCACCTGAGACAGTTGGGCTCCTCCTCTGGGTCTTCCTGTCTCTGAGAAGCAAGGATGTGGGACAAGCACTGGTGTTACTGGGCTTTCTGGGAAGGGGGAGACAGCAGCAAGATAAAGTGAAACCCTCCTCAATGAGCTGCGGGGTTTGGGGGTGCTCCATCTCAGCTCCATCTCACCTTGCCCAAGGATGAGAAGACCTGTCTCTTGGGGTGGCCATCTCTTCCATGGACTCCTACAGGAGCTTAGATGTTGGAGGCATCTACTGGGGAGCCCATGTGTGGACATCTGTATCTGGAGCTTGAAACATGTCTATGACATTCAAGAACTGAGTATCACCTCTTCTTTGTACACATAGGAGGAGCCGGCAGAAGAGTGCTCGTCATAGAAATAAATTTATTTACTATAAGAAATCTGAGGAGTCTGCATGTTACAAAAATAAAAATGTACAGTCCTTGTCACAAAACCCACTTTTTTTTTTTTTTAGTATAAGTTAGTGCTTTTACAAACAAACAAACAAAAATTTCTATACATAAATTTCCAGTTGGCACATCTCCAACCGCTCTCCATCCGAACAGTGCCGCTAGCTTGGGTGCACCGGGATTGCTGAGGGACCCCCTTGATGGGACTGGCAGTGTTGGCCAAGGCAGTGGTTTGAGGCCAGCTGATGCCAGGTCAGAGAAAGGCGGCATCACGACCGCAGGAATGGACTTTGAGAACATTTGTTGAATTATTCAGAGCACGTAACTTGGTGTTCATGTTGCTTTTCGGCAAGTGTGGGAGACCAGGCAAGACCTGGCCTGGAGTAACGTGTGTACCAGTTCAGTGCTTCGGCTGAATTAATTTCTCCCAATTATTTGTCTCGCCCTGGTGACTATGCTGTGACCCTGCCTGTAAAGCCAAGCTCCCTTCACAGGTACAAGAAAAAAAAAAGGTGCTACCATGGTGCAAGTCCTATCTTAACCCAACCCTATCCTAAAAGTTCACTCAAAGGTGAGATGAACCACCCTAGAAATGTCCTATTTTTGTTTACTGATGGTGCTCAGATCTGAGACAGTTCCCTCCTTTGCCTCCTGTTGTTGTGACATTGTTGGTTGGGACAAGAGTCCTCCATGGGACCATGGTTCCACCAATCCAGGACCACAAGAACCTCCCAGTTGTCCCTGAATGCCCTTAGCTGAACTCAGCTGGTTACATCACGGTGTGTCTTTATCTCCACCAAGCCACTTCATAAGAAGGAGGGACAGGAGAAAGTAAGAAGAGGTCTGAGGAATTGGTCTAAACCAGGATCAAATGTGTTTGCCTAATCCTAAAATAGAGCCAGGGCTGCATTTACAAAGTATGGCTCCTCCCGTGCTGCAGCACAAGCAATTTTCATTTTTGGGGTGAGGAATCAGCATCCTCGTGGCAAGGCTGAGCAAGGAAACCACGGACCTGGGCTCTTGGCTCTCCAACCCAATAATTACAGAAACAAAGACCAAGTGGACCTTCTGGTGAAGTGTTTTGTGGCTCTTTTCTCCAGTTTACTTTGAACTGTCCTGGCTGATGGGGGATGTGGTTGGACTTGATGATCTTAAAGGTCTTTTCCAACCTAAACGATTCTGTGATTCTGTGATTCTGTGATGCAAGGCCAAATCCAGACAGGTCTGGGGTTAAGCTTAGCACTGCATTTATTGCTATGGCTCCTAAACCTAGAGTTTAGTGCTGCCAAATCTCCCGGGGAAGGTCCACGCTGTCAGTAAGGGATATGCTGACTGGCTCCAGTGGAGCACTGGGGTTACTGGGATTATGAGGAGACCAGACAGCAACATCTGGGCAGTATTTTGGGTCACAGCAAGGTCCCAGAGGGCTGTCACCTCTGAGCAGCAATGAGGATGTGGCAGCGCTCAGCCAAGGGGATGAGCAATGGTCTTCGCTTCTTTGCTGGAAACATGAGTCACTAGTAAGGGGGTTAAAAACAAGACATGAAGAGCTCACCCTAAATTTTAGGGAGCTGGAGATGATTACTAAAGTCAGTAGCTGAAAGCAAGCTACAGGTTCCTAAAAGCTTTTCAAGGGTGAACGTTGCTGTTGGAAAGCACTAACGGGTCTTTTGGAAGATGTTGACCCCACTGGAGAAACCTACAGGGGACCTGCTTGATAGTACCGGTAAATTCCAGTGGGATGGTACCAGTATACTCCAGTAGGATGGAAGGTCCGCCAGCACCCTTTTTAATGGGAAACCAGCCCTTGGACAGGAGCTATGAGTCCCCTCCCGACTCTGCCAGCAGATGCCAGGGCTTGAAGCTGGGAGCATTTCTTCAGGGATGCAAAGCTGTGGGAGACCCCTTCCTGCGGTGGGCAGTATTTGTGCTTCAGAAAATGATCTAAGACATTCAGGGGGTGATTTTTTTTTAGCAGATTTGGCCACCATGAAAGAGGTTACCCAGCCCCACTGGTGGAGAGATGCCATTCAGGGTTGAACAGAGAGGCAGGCTTGGATGAAGAGGCAGAGATACGGGGTTTGTGTGTATAACCACAGCAGCATCTTCCTGAAAAAATACGTTTGAAACAGAAACAAGCAGAGAAGAGCGTTAAACATGGACCATGCTGAAGTGGGTACAAGCCAAAGGCACTGCAAACACCAAAAGCCTCGGGCCCCGAAACACCCTGACCTCCTTTCAGACCTGGGATAAACCCTTCTGTTGCAGAGACGGTGCTGGCCATGCCAGAGCTGAGCTAGGATTTCACATCCTTGGATAATGTGTCCGTGTCGTTGCTGGTTCCCAGGTGACTGCTGGGCACGATGCCCAGCACCATTTCATTTTGCGGCTTCCCCGGCATTTTGTTGCCTGCAAACTTCATAAATCGTTGTCCTGCTAAGAAATACAAAATGGGATCCAAGCAGCTGTTGGTGCTAGCTAGGGGACGAGTCACCTTATAGGCTAAATTGATAGCATTGAGGGTCTGACAGCTCAAGTCCCAGCTCCGGAAGGAGTAATACAAGGTACGAGTGACATGGAAAGGAAGAAAACAAACGATGAAGACCACCAAGACAATGATTATCATCTTGACCGACTTCTTTTTGGATCGGGACAGCCGGGAGATCCCCCGTGTGGGCTGCAGCAGCCTCCGGGCCATCAGGCAGTAGCAGACAATGATGATGAGGAAAGGGATGCAGAAGAGCAGCACCAGCATCACCGAACTGTAAATGACAAACTGGCCAAAGAGGTCCTTGCTGGATGTGTCGTGGCAAGTGATGGTGTCATGCTTCACACTGGTGGTGACGAAGAAGAGCACGGGAGACTGGCACATGACGGTCACCACCCACACGATGACCGATACCCTCCGGGCGTAGCGAACATGTCCCCACTGCAGCGACTTCAGTGGGAAGCAGATGCCCAGGAATCGATGGATGCTGATGCAGAGGAGGAAAAGGATGCTGCAGTAGAGGTTGGTGTAGAACAAGAAGCGGACTATCTTGCACAAGCCCACACTGAAGGGCCAGTTGTCCCCCATGGCATAATAATACACCAGGAGGGGCAGGGAGACCACGTAGAGTGTGTCGGACACGGCCAGATTGAACATGTATGTGGTGGAGGCGTTCCAGGTCTTGATCCTGAAGATGAAGACATAGAGGGCCAGCAGGTTGAGAAAGAGCCCCACCACGCACACAATGCCATAGGAGACGGGCAGCAGGACATACTTGAAGTCCTCATCAAATATGCACTTGTAGGCATTGTTTGCTGCAGCACCTGGGTCCAAGGAGCTGTTGATGACTCTGGTCCAGGCTGGAGGAGTTGTTAGGTTCGCCATCACCCTGGGGGGAAAGCAAAGAGACTGTAAGGACACAGAGGTAGGGAAGAGGGGGGTTAGATAACAAAAAAACAGTGCCACAGTGCTGTGACACGTTGTGTGGTCCACGCTGTCATTATTACTATATACTCTTACTATACCCTTCCCTGTCCCTCACGTCAAGGTTGCCATCAACACTTGGTTGTGTCTACCCAAAAGCTACCCACAAGCATTGCTCGTTGTCAGGCAGGCAGTGCCATCTCAGTGCAGGTGACGACACAAGAGGTGGCCATGTGTGCCTGCTGCCAGCACATCGCATGCCCACGAAGACCATGGCCTCATTGACACAACCGAGGTAGACTCTAGCATGGAGGACTTATGGTCAAGCAGATAAAGGGAGTTTTATTGATCCTCATTTTGCATCTGGAGCACGGAGGGGGAACTAAGCTGCTCTAAAGTCACTAACAAATCCCAGCCCACACCTGGGAGTCCAACTCAGACCTCCTGCAGCCCAGTTCAATGACTCAATCCACACTTGCCACCAGGTTCACGCAGAAATTTGGTCTCCTGAGCTACGGAACAGGAAAGATGCTCTATTCTGTGCTTAGCCACCCATGAGAAGTGACTCAGCTGAGCCCCGTGAAAGGTGGGTCCTACTAAACCCCAGGCAGAAAGGGTGAGAAAAGGGAACGACGC